CCAGACATGCCAGCTACTAGAACGCTTCTCTGCTAACAAAAACTCTGATGGCTAAAGTCTCTCTGTATCATATGGCTCACAACCAATACTACCACTAACGATACTCATGGTGCTTTAAAGTTTCAAACTGCCTTAATAAAGCCCTTACTGATAAAAATGCTGATGCAACAGGAAATATCATCTCTTGGGAACATATAAATGAGTGAAGGACACTGACTGATCAGCATTTCTGTTTTAGGCCTCACAGAGCTCCTTAGAGATCTATGAAAGAACAAGGTGAAATCACTTCTTGTCCTTATTTAAAAAATATCTGAAGAACCATGTTTTTTAATTAATTTTTAAAAAAGTGATCATCTTGTTTCCTTTAAAATTATTTAATCTTATTTATTCTCCAACTTAAATCTAGGAGACCATTAGTAATGGAAGCGGAGGATGTCTCCGTATGTGTTAATCTGTCTCAGATGAAAGCACTATGAAAAACTGGCTAAACTGATGCCATCAAATGACCGTGGACCTCATGATACTCAGGCAAGATTGTGCTGTATTAAAAAGAAGCTGCATGCTCAGGTTACTTGATATTTATAAAATCCAACATTTAGCATAACTTTCAACGCAAGAAAATGACCTGTGATTTGCTGTCATACAGGGGGTTTGGGGTTTTTGCCTTTTTTTTTTTTTTAAATCTGGAATATTAGAAATACTTTGTTAATGACAATCGATTCTGGGATTTTTCTTCTCACTAGTTACACTATCACTCTATGAAAAAGCACACTGGAGACATGCAAGTCTCCAGATTTAATCTACCACAGGAAAACTCCAAGACAGCAAGCCTGTGCTAGCTCTCAAGAAAAGAGGAACAGCACATGGTAACTGCTTTTTCTTTTTTTTTTCTTTTGACAGTAATAAAATGAATCTAGAAAGAAAAAGTTCCTTTAACCATCCAGAGTTTCCTCAAATTCAACAGAAAAATGATGAACAACACCGGCTGCAAGGGGGGAAAAAAAAAAAAAAAGGGAGAGGAGCGGGCAGTATTTGCTCCCCATGAGGACAGCACCCTCCAAGATGCAAGTTACCCACTTTCACTGTAAACAATCCTCATTTTATCACATTATTTCCGAATCTTTTTACACCCAAGCTCTATTCACATACAAAATGTGTTTTTGCAAGGCGTGTGATGTTACCCATCACTCAGAAGCTTCACCTAGCAGCATGCCAGGTTGCCTACGGATATAATTAATTATTTCCTCAGAGTTCTATCTGCAATTTGGGTGCAGAGGTTGACTAAGCAAACTACTGACTGTGACTGTCAAGGCTTGCTACTATTTTTGCACAGTGCATTTGGCTGAATTAGTGAATGATAGCAACTTTTGATCAGTGTTTCCCCGTAACTACACAGTTTTACGGTTCCTTAGTGAAATCTAACATTTCTGCTAACTCTTTATAACTGCAGGTTTAGATTTTTAGAATGCAAACCAGAGTCTACAGGAACGTGTCTCCTGAATATCAACATGTTTTACTTAATTTTACTGTTAATTGAAAACATGCTTTGCAGCCACTTCTGCCTTTTTCTATTCACCAAGCCCTCTGTGGGGTTATCTAACACCATCTGTATAATGGTTTGGTTCCCCACTGATACAACTACACAGTGCAACAGAAATTTAATCCAATCCGTTTTGCGTGGCACTGAAAGAGCAGGCGTTCTCATATGATTAGTTTTTACGTGACAGCTGATGAGGTATGTAACATGGAAAGCACAACGATTCTCCTCACCATTTAAGCCATCTCTTCCCACTGCTGCTTCCTGACCTGCCACCACTTTTTCCTTCTTTACAAGTACCAAATCAACGTGTAGCTTTATCTCGAGTTCTCTAATCATTTCATATTTCATAAGCTCAGCGTAATCAAAACCTTTCATTTCAAACAATCTTCCCATAACTCCTTTTTCTACTTTCCTGCCTCTCACCAAGAATTCCACCTCAGTACTTTCACTGCCCACCCTACACTTTGTTAAAAACCTTACCCATCAGCAGAACTGCACTACCAGCTAAAGTTTCCTAACAAAGGAGTAAAGCTAGATATGGATGCGCTATAAGGAAGACATCAGGTTTTTTGAAATTGAAGAAAGTGCTGAAGAACGTGAGGTAAAATTAACTGGTCATCAGTCTTTACCTCACAGGCCAACGGTGAAAATACAACGATGCCTATACTGGGAAAGGAATTGATGACCAGATCAGCTTTACAAAGACACAAGTTACTGGTCCTGGGGATGGTCAAATCACAAACTTGGAGATCTTCAAATCTAAAATACTAGTATCCATCAGTCTGAAAAAAACCTGATGGATAATGGGAAACTTAACTAATCCTATCAGGAATGCTACTGAGCAAAGGACGTTAAAAAAAAAAATCCTGCGATCAAATTGTTAATGATAAAAAATGACTGCAGGCTCAAAGCCACTGGGACTCCCACACATTAATCTGAGCCACGCTGAAGCTGTACCAATTACCAAAATCCCAAGCTAGAACTAGGTTAATGGAACATATGTCAGGAAACTGAAGTAAGTAGTTAGCTTAAGGGTTTAAGCAAACTTTGTCTTTTTGCCAGAGCATCATTCTTTGTGCTCAGAGGCAGACAGCCCGCTCACTCTCTTTTTAGCATATTAAAGCTAGATCCCTGTCATCTTAAGGCAAAGCTAGGCAGAAGTGGTAGACAAATCAGGCAATCTGGTGTTTCTTAGAAAATGTATCAAGCAAGTAGGACACACCATAGGATCAGCTAATTTTCAACCACTCTGTAAGATGATTATGGAAAAGATGGATGAACAAGGAGAAATTTTTAAGCAGCTGGAAATCTAAAGGGACCTAGGATTTTAAATTGAACCTAATATCAGATCACAGACAAACTAGGAGACCACTGAGTTGCACTGCCATCTCCTTAGGACGTGCTTTCTTATAATTACTGTCCAGGATGTTAAGGTGTTAACCTAGATTATACGAAGTCACTTCTCCTGAACACCTCAGGTTTGAAGGAGAAGCTTTAGTGAAAACAATCCTAAAAAATGCCATTAACATGTTTTTCTTACTATTTTTTTTTTTATTCTAAGTCTGTCTAACAAGTCAATTGTGTAGTCTCATACACTGCTTCAGCTGAATGCATTCCTGAATGAGCAGGTTACCAAAATTGGACGTTATGAAACACCTTTGGAAATTATACACGTATCACATCAGGCTTCTAGAGCAGACAACTGAATTTAATCAGTCGAACACCCCTGGAAACCTTGCACAGGAGTCAGTGTTGCTACGAAGAACCCAAGAGTTAGACTATGACCAGGTCCAGCAGTATTCATGCAGAAAAGGGGTAAAAAAAGTGCTTTACATTGCATCCTAACTTTGAAACTTACATTAAAAAAAAAAAGTATGAAAGACGACATGCTGTACCTTCCTAAGCTACACTTGGAGAACTCAGCAAACAGCCTTTCAGTTTAAGTGTTGAGGTGGGGAATAAATAAATCACTGTCAATAGAAAGGAGAGAAGGCAGAGTAAATCAACGGTTATGAGAGATGAAAACAAGACACAAAAATCCAAAGACATGACTTTTGAGTAGAGAGAGTTAATTGACGAAACAGTTCTTACAACTGTTAATCCTCAGCCAAAATCCCTAATTATCTTGGGCTCAAAATCTTTAACTAAGCAGGGTTGGAGGACAGGGTATTTTGAACTGAAAAGTGAGACAGTCCTTTAGGGAAAAACGTTGTAAGGAGGAGAAGGTGTAGCAGGTGAAGCTAGAGCTTGCTGCTCACTGCAATGCTTACCAAAAAAATTCAAACTGCTGCTATTCAAGGCATATGTCATTTTGTAGAGATGAATTAGGTCCTGTGGTCTGCAGAGTATTATAAATTTGCTGAGGGAAAAGCTACAGCTGTTATTAAAAAAGACCCACAAAGCAACAAACCTGTGGTAAGAAACCCCATGATGAACCACCAGATCACGTTCTAACCGTTCAACGCCAAATACATACCATAAGGGTTTCTCTAAACACCACAACCCTGCAGTCAGCAGAACTCATGAGTGTAAAACTTAGGTCTACCCTGCTAAGAAAAGCCGCAGAGGTCACGGCATCATGATTGCAAAAGCAGAAGAAACTATCGTCTAGTTCAACCATTTGCACAAAACTGGCTGGAGATGCCCATTCCTCCTTCAAATAGATAGCTTATATAAACAGAATCAAAACAGGACCAAAATCACAGCAAGAACCCCTCTGTTCTGTGATGTGAAAGCCTATCTTCAGCCCTGTAAAGTAATACCAACAATTCTTTTTCTCTCATCTCTCTACAGTGTCTCATTACTGGTGTCACTTATCTCAGCTGTCTTCTCATTCTCCCTTATCTCAACCAGAACCTATGGAAGAATTGGCCTAGGATTATCATACAAGACCAAAGATCAGTGGCAGCACAACAGCTTTAATCCTGGGTGGTTTAAGTGTCCTGGTACAAAAACAAATTTTAAGAGCTGAGCATTTAGCTTGTGTCCATTGAAGATAAAGTCTGGTAATAACCAGCTTAAGAAGTAATCATTTATAAGTTAGTATTTTGAAGAAACAGGGGGTGGGAAAGAGGATGGGGAGGCAGAGTATGGTCAAAAAAGCACACCAAAGAATGAGTGATGGCTAGCCAGTGTTTTCATTTAATGAAACTGGCCAACTTACTTTCAGGAATAGCTTTACTCATTTTTAAAGTTATGCTAAAGTCCTGGGCACAGTTCTCAAACTAAAGATTGCTGAAAAAAACGTTACTGTTTAACACTGCACATAAATAAAATTAAAAAAAAAAATCAGATTTGTGTCTCGTTATGTACTTCTCTAAAACAGCCACTCTCCACTACTGGTTAGATGCCACGTCACTCAAAACACTATTAATTCATCTGTTCTATTTAGTGAGAACTTCTCCATTACACACTTCCACAGATTTGGTGCAAAAGGTGTGACTTACATGCAGTCTCTTACCTTGAATTAGCGGTATGTACCGTGCTAACAGCTTTGCCCTTTTCTTTTCATATCCTTTCTGAGTGATGTCTCCTAAAGAAACAAAGAATAAGTTCATTATTGCTTTGAACAGTTTTTAAATAAGCCTTCTCATTTCCACGACACCTACGATGAAACTCGCTAACTTGGAGCCAGACACATTAGCGACCAAGAACTGGACATGGCAGAGAAATTCATGGCTACACACATACCACCCACGCAGCGCTGCCCGTGCACGTATGAAAATGAGCGTCTTGGAAGTCTACAGCAGAGGAATAGTGGTTTTGCCTGCAGCACCTGTGCTGAACCTGGTTCTGGCGATGCAGAACGTGGCACAAAAGATCTGCAGCGCAGCGGAAGCCAAGGAAGCCGGCAAGGGTGGCTATGCATCCTCCTGGGGCATCCCAAATGCTCAGCACACCAGGGCTTGAGAGACCACCCTCCAGCACATCCCCCCAGTCCCTCTCGCACCCTGTGTCTCTGCACCGCGCGGCACATCAGACTCCACTTCCCAGTTCTGGGAGGTGATAACCTCCTGGTAGCACTAGGGTTTTTCCACAGCTGTCACCCGATATCCTGGTTCAAACCTACACTGCAGACTCCACTGGTAAAGTGTGACGTGGGTTTTCACACAGACTAGAGCCAAAGGAGAGCTTCTGTAGAAACCCGAAGCAAGGTTTTGAGACATTTCAGAACCTGCACTTCCATGACTCTACCAACAGAACAAGGCAGCTTCATGCAAAACCAGCAGCAAGCTTAGTATAAAAATCCCAAACCCCACCAGAATTTTACAAGCTTTGTCCATTTTCTTGATCTCAGCATAGACATGAAAACAGTGATCTCAAAACCTTAAAACCACTCCCACCTCCCAGAATTCACATTTGCTTAAAGACGGTGAGATAATACGCAGTTCCACTAACCAAGTGGACTTTTATCCCTCCGTACCCAGCAAATGCATCACAACAGCATGAAACAGAACCAAGATTGAAGAGGTTTTTAATATCTGATGATGTTTTTGAAAACATACTCAAGTGGAGAGTGAATTTTAGAAATATAGACAGATAATTATCTTGACTTTAAATAGGGCACAAAGTAAAATTTTACATTTACATCTTTCTTCAAGCACATTCTTCCAGGAGCATATTGGTGAAAGAGTAAAAAAGAAAAAAAAAAAAGAAGAGGCATGGATTACATATATATGGAGAATTCCATCTGCCTTCTGACAAACCTGAACCTTTTTCTCCATCCTATTCACAGAAGGAATCAAAACAATGCCTGGAAACAACAAGAGGACTTGGGTGAGTCTTAGCACACTCGGTGCTTGAATGGATTCAGGTCTTGCTTTGACACAACTCCAAGAATACTACCCCGTGCTGCTTCTAAGGTCTCTCTGACCTCAGGCGTACAGTAAGAGCTGACATGTCCCACACCTGGGACTTTGCTGGGTCCTTTACCAGAGTTTCCTGCAGGTGACCAGCAGAATCAAGAGTCATGAGGGCAATAGAGAGAAAGACAGAGCATGATTTACATGGGATTCATTCCCTTTGGAAATGAGGCTATAAAATTATATGTAAGATTATATGTTACTAGAGACAGTCATTTTAAATTCATCCAGGTGAGTGGGACTGCTTGTATATGCAGAAGCAAGAAACCCTTTTCCTCAGTCAGATTTTAGAGAAAAAGGTTCTTACTCTGTATTTTAAGATGTTTCTTGACTACTTGCCTTGATACATAAGGGTTGGGTTTGGTTGTTTTGCTTAATATTGTCCATAGCAATATGTGCTCTAAACACATTTCCTCCAACACCCACCTCCCTCCTACATCAGAAGACACTGCTAACACAACCAAAGTCACTTCATCCTACCATCCCCCGGCAATCAAGTGAATATGCATCATGCAAAGTTCCTGACAGTATGCCAGAACAAGTGATGAGAGCTTGCAGACACTGTTCCAAACAAGTAAGTGGGGGGGGAAGCACATCCTGGAGTACTTCAATCATTGCAGGTATTTCAAACTACAACCAAACAGAATTTGACAGTTTTTAGTCATAAACCTGTGTAAATATTTCTCATGAAGTTTGGACACAAGAAATGCTTTGGTTATTTTTCTTGAACAGAATGTTTTTAGCAGAACAAATATAATTTATATATATTAGTTATAAAATTATAACAGAACAAGAACAAAAATCAAACAAAACAGCCACAAATGCCCAGATTTGTGTGCCTGGGAATACTGATCAAAATAATAAATTACACTCCAAGTGTAATTCCAAAGAAAGAGAAAGGATACAAAAAAAGGATGCATCATTTTCAGTTATGGAGGAAAAAAACCAAACCCAGACAAGAAGCACCAGAAGGAGTAACAGTTTACCTTAAAACAGAGATAATTTGGAGGACTAAAGCAATCTCAGCAAATTCTTTAAGTAACAAATGCTGTCCACGACACAAATTTGCCATACCGTAACTTCAGCAATGTTCACAGCTTCAAAAATGGTCCAAGTAACCTTTAACCCAAATTTCGGCACAGGGCAGCTACCTTGCCGGCTATCACCAGCGGAAGAGGTATGCCATGGAAGCACCACATCAGAAGACAGGGCTGAACACAGCCTCATTTAAACCAGAATATCTCGAACTTCGGCATCTCACTGCACCTGGAAATTCTTTGGTTTTGATGGAACGCTGACTTGAAGAATTTTCCTTGATTGGGGTTAAGAGAAGTCCAAAGTCAACAGCATCTCTGTCGACTTCTGCAGCCTCACTGGCAAGTCAGGCTCTGCTGCCCAGCACAGCTTTTCTTTGTTCCTTCCTCAAAAGCTTGGGGGTGGATTCCTCCTGCCAATTGCTCTCCACCCCCTCACCCTCAGAGCCTCAGTGGGATTAACCCATCATTTGGGGTTCTTTGTGATCCCTCACCTCTTCCAAAGAGAGTCACTTAGCCACATCTGGTATGTCAGGGCCACAGCTGCTGTCATTTAGCCTCACTTTCTCCCTAGTTATTAGATTACACAAAAGCAATGTGAGGTTCCTCAATATCAGCAAACCAGCTGGGAAGCCTGGATAAAGCTAGACACTGGGTCTGGCTGTTAGTTCCCTGCCTGCAGGATCTGTCCTATTGTAAAATATGTCAGAGGCTCCAAGAAAATTAATCTAAACAGAGATGAAAGCATTGGCCTTTTATTAAAGTGATGTATAGAAATAATTTTCCCAAGTAGTGCACAAAGCATCTGTCATGCAGTTACTCCAAATCTACCCAAGCAGGTCTGAATTCGCAATGTTAGCACTACAGCTAACAATCTTAATGCCAAAACAACTAAATAAATACTGCCTGCATTTTACTGGGGTTTCAGGAATTATTTTTCATTGGCTATCCACTCCTTGGGTTCAAAAATTTCAACGAGCTTATTTTCACTTCTGACAGGTAGGTGGTGAACACACTAAGAAACACAAGAGCAGGGAACAAGCACACACTTTACCGCCTAGACACGGCACCACGTCTCACGGCACTGCGAAATCCTGACTTTGTAGTCCCAGGTATTTTATGGGAGCTCTACTCATTGGATAACAATGCTCAGAAAAAGCTTTTTTTTTTTTTAAAAAAAATAGGAACCAGGCATATGTGAGGTATGCAGCTCATAAATAAACTGAGTGTGCCTAACAGAGCATTATCTCCTTGACCACCCAAGGACACCCGCAAGCGCGGCAGCCTCTCCTCTCCAGTGCATGAACATACTGGACAGAGCACATCCAGGGCTGTTCCAGCTCCTTCCTAGCTTTGTATCCCCACACTAAGGCATCCTCGAAGGCTACTGATGGAGAAGGGAAGATGGGCAAGATGCAGACAGACACCAAAGAGCTGCTTGCTATGAAGTGAGCAACTTCTCCAATCCTTAATCAGCAATTTCAATGTAAATTCTCACTGGGAGCAGCTGTAAGAAGCCACGCACCACACTGTGCTGGCAGTAGGTGTCAGGAGGCCATCATGTCAACCCTCTCCCCAAGATACCGAGCACACCATGCAGCTGAAGATGGCTCTGCAGAGCCCAGTGCTTGCTGAAGATAAGGAAACGGCCCTAAGTCACCCATCTGCAGAGCTCAAGAACAGAGACATTTCTGAATGAGACAACTGCGTTAAACGTAGATGAAAAGAGTAAGATGTGCTAGATCTGCAAGGTGAAACTTTTAAAGGATTCCACTGTTCGGCCACTGGTGAGCACAGCCACAGTCTCGGCTGCATCAACTACTGACAAATCCCTGCAGAACCTTTTGCCAGCTCCTTCAGTACAAAGCAGAAGTCAAGGGTGTGAATACTGGCTTCTGCCTGAAGAGGTGGTTCTGGGGATGGTTTGAAAAGGCAGGCAAGTTGCCAGCCAAAACCTAACTCAGAAGTCACCTGTGGAAAAATTTAAAATACATCTCCAGTGTTTATAGGGACAGGTTGTCACTGTATCTGAAGGGTTGGTGGAGTTGGAAGAATCAATTCAGCAGTCATCGTTTCTAACTGTACCTCTCAGACACGCCTGGTAAGTATTTTTAAAGTGCAGTAACTCATTAAGCTTTATTTTGCACCATCCTAGTGGTATTATAAAAGGAACACGGCATTGCTACATCAAAGTCGGAAACAACAATTAACAAACATTGCTAAAAAAATAATTACTCTGACATCTGTGATTTCTGCCCACTGCATAATCAAGAACAATCAAGACATTTCTAATCACTCGTGAGAGTCAGCAACAAGGAAAGCCAATGACAGTTGGTGTAACAGCCAGGGAATTGAAAGACGGCGCTGAGGAACATCAATATGGAGTCACAAGGGTACGTCGGATCTGTACCCTCAGTCATACGTGATACTTCTCCAGCAGTGTCACACGTCCCTTGTTACCCAGCTTTCCAACTCCAAAGCACATCATGTGTTACAGCACCCTGACAGACGATGCCAGTTGCCGATTCCCTGAGAAAGTACAGGGTGCAGCATGGAAACACAGCAGGACCGTTGCATTTATGTCAAGATCTCTAGGCACAAACAGGGCCTCGAGGAAGAGGAGGAGCAGCTCCTCC